ATGTGGTCACCTCCGGGGCAGGCAGGAATCGAACTCATGCAGAAGTGGCTTTAGCTTCTCAGTGCTGTGCTTTAACCCGCTGCGCCACGAGGGAGGGCCCACGTTCCATACTTTTAACCTTACTGTTAAGACTCGATACTATCTTGTCCTGTTTGGTATGCATGGTATGCCATACAGCAGCCAAACCACAGTGGCCTGCCTACTGTTTCCGTTTCTGCCACTGAAGGACTGGTTATATCTGAGGAGCCACCCTGAAAGATCCAGCCATCTGAACCCATAGGAGCTGCACCTGAAAGCTGGGTCTTGGTTGGCTTACCAGCTGAGTGATCTTGTCCTCCCAGGCCTGTTCTGGGGTAGGGATAAACTATGTCTAAGAGGCTTATTAGTTCAAGGCAGAGGCTTTTGTGGGAGAGCTAAAAGCTGGCTGGCCTTACAGAGCTTCTTAATTTTAGCATCTTCACCTGTAAAATGGGAAAGCTAATTCCTTCCTCCTGAGACTGTGGAGGTGATGGAGAGGGACACTTGGCTGGGTTTTGCAGGTATCTCATTTCTCAATAACCTACATCCTGTAGGGTCAAGTTGCAGGTGTTTCTCCACAGGCTCAACCCCTTTTCCCCCCTGGGTCCTGATCTGTCTTCTAAGCTCAGCAGCTCACTGGCCCACCTAGATGCCTCTGGCTAAGCTTCTACTGGGACTTGGGGCTTTTCCCCCAGCATATTTCATTCCTGCCTGGGGCTTCTGCCCTTGCTCATCTGCTCTGCAGCCATGGACAGGATGGACCTCAGACAAACCTCAGACACTTGTTATCCCTGACCAAGGAGCGCGTGGCCAGCACTGTACCGATGGGGGTGGAAGTCCTGCAGACTGAGGTCTCCGTCAATCCTCCTGACTAGTTTGGCTAGGTCTGGGAGGAATGCAAGGCCACTTCTTTTACCCTTTTTGTATCCACAAAACATGAGCACACTCCAGATCTGGAGTGGGGGGTGAGGGTTGGGGTGGAAAGCTGTACTGCCTGCTTCATACTTAGTGTGTCAGCTCAAAACTTTCAGATGAAATTGTCAGGAAAAGGAAGTGAACAAGAGAGATTAGAACAGTTAATTATTTCAAGAACCCACAATGCCAAAGACTTAGAGTAACAAATTCACTTTAATTGACTTACAGATAAAAACTACTTAAAAGCCAGTGACCATTTTAGTCCCTTATCTGTTAGTGCTGTATCCTTGACAGTCTTGAAGAACTGTATTAACACGTTATTTTCATTATTTCACTTTATCCACAGTATTAGAAAAGCAAGGTATTATAAAAGTTTAGTGAAATGTGTGGCTAGCAGCCCAATCCAGTCTCTTATATTCCATATTTTTTCTTTAGTTCTTCTACTTTGGCGATGTAAGCTTTCATTGCATCATCCTTGGAAGTCCCTGGAAGCAGTCAACAGGGTTATTTGTCAGAGGGGCAGCATGGTTGAAAAGCAGCAGCCTTTAGAATCCAGGGCATCCCTGGTTTAATAGTCTGAGGTGAAGTTTCTCACCTCTGAAGTGGGGTTCTACTCCCTGCCACTCCTAGGCCTAGCCGGGACCCAACTGCAGTTCTCGGGGAGCCTGGCCCACAGTGAAGGCTCCAAAAGCTCTTAGCCATCATGTGTGTGTTCTGCTTCAGTGCCTGATCCAGGGTATCTGGCCAGGGGAGCCCTCACTGCCTGGAGTCACCAGACCCCTGTGCCCCAGGAGCGGCTAGGAGCTGTAGACAGGAAGTGACTTTACTGGTCCTGCTGACTCACAGATGGCTGTGGCCTATCACATCTTTCTCTGTGGGGCTCTTATCTTTCTAAACTGTAAAACTGGCAGTGCAACAGCAAAACCAAGCACCCTCTTCTCCCCAGAGGAAAGCTGTGAGAAAAGTTTTGAGAATGCCGGGTTGAAAGGAACTGACTCTTAGAGGAGAATGAGGCAAATGTCTGCCTTGATACTACAGTACAAAGGATTCTGACTATATGCCCCAGAGATAGTTTCCTGGATCAGTTTCCTGGATCCCATGGTAAAGGATACCCACTGTGCATAAGAGCATGTTCTGAAGCAACAGAGAGTACATGGGGCTTGAGAATGGCATGGAACTTCCCAATGAAAATCAACACTCAGGCATTCCTGTTCCAGTTCTTTGCAAAGCCTAGGAGTGTTTATTGTATTCTGGCCCTTTTTGAACTCAAGGGTTTCTCATTTGCAGGAAGACAGAGGGCTTATTCAGAAACTAGCTTGCAAGAATACAAAAGCTAGCAGGGACTTTAGTGCCAACTCTTGGGTCTTGCTGCTGCAGGTGGCATGTGATTAAGTCGGAGCTTGGATACTTCTTGGCTGTTGTTGCTTAGCATAATTGCTCCATTCACCGAATCTGCCATGTGCCAGCAGTTTGCCCTGCATCAGCTCATTCCTTTCTTTTATGTGGCTTCCTGGCTGGAAGGGATCTAGAGAGAGTTGCTTGGGCTAGGGGCTTATAGGGAAGAGGGAGTTGTGGGCAGGGAACCATCCTTTATTCTGAATACACAGGAAGTCCACACCAATTATTATGCTTCCCAATCTGTTTCAGTGGCATGGTCCCAGCCCCACCCCTCCAGATGATACCAACCATTAGAGAGGGCTTTTAGAAAAGGCAGAAACAGTGTTAGGAGAAAAAGCAGGTGTTCCAGTTTTTTCCATTCCAACAGAGGTCAAGCTGATTTTCAGCATATGGTTCATGTACTTTCTCTCTTCATCCTTCACACTCCATGGTGCAGAATATTTCACTACTGGGATTCACAAACTAGGAAAACTGATTACAACAATTACCTTTCAGCCCATTCCAGGCATCCCACTTGGCTTTGCCTTTGAAGTCCATCATTCCGGGCCGTTCTTAAATAAAGAAAAGAAAGAGATTAGCTCTGCTTTAAGTTCTAGTGGAAAACTTTTATCAACCTTCTTTCCAAGAAAGCCATCATTTAGTATATCTAATCTTTCTGGGATCTGTCACGGGGTCAACTGGATCTGTAGTCACAAACTCAGATGTACAGAAATCCAAGCTTAAAAGCTAGTGAAAACAGGAACTACGAGGTAGTCCTTTCTTATCAGTTACATAAACTCCCACATTCCCCTTTTAAAAACTGTCCTTTAATTTTTTTTTTTTAAGATTTATTTACCTATGTGTACAGAACTGGGGTACAGGCCAGAGGTGCAGGGGCAGTGAGAGGACTCACCAGAGACAGAGTGGGGAGCAGAACAGGCAGATTGATGAAGCACACTGCTGAGGGGAGCAGTGGGCGAGAAAGGACAGGTCATCTGTTGTGCCAAGTGGGATCGGACTTGAGCTGAAGTGGCTGTGGCCAGTCTTATAATGCTGCACTTTAACCTGTTGTGCCACCAGGGAAGGCCTAATTTTTTTTTTTTAAACAAGTACTACATCCATTTTCTTGGCTTAAAATTCAAAACTATAAAGGGAAATGCTGTAACATTTCCTATTTCTTTTCCTCATGCATTATTATCAGTTTTCTGAGTGTTCTTTCTGTTCACAATGTTATGCCATATTTTACTAAATTGCAAGTCTATTTCTGGTGGATATGTGGGGGTTTTGCCTAAGAGCAAGATCTTTTAAAGTGATGCCATGACTTTATACTTGACAGTTGTACTTTGGAAACACACTACTTCCCTGTCCACCCATTTTGGTGTTTGAGAACAAGCCCAGGGGCGCCTTCACAGTGTCCACAGCCTGGATCAGTGTGTCTGAGACATGTCAGTGTCTCTGAGTGCTCTCAGGCAAGTATTTCAAGAGATACCCAAGAGAAACGCTACCTGTTGACTTAGCATCAGAATTTTACAGCAGGGCCTCTCTGGTGGCACAAAGGGTTAAGTCTCAGCACTATGAAGCTATTGGCAGCCACTGCAGCATGAGCTTGATCCCCAGCCATTGTTGCTGACGCACATGGCACAGCAGAGCTCTCTTGTCCTGCCTGCTGCTCCCCTCAGCAGTGTATTTCAGTAGATTCAACTGTTCTGTTCCCAAACTCTGTCTCTGGTAAAGCCGCTCACTGCCCTCTTGCACCTCTGGCCTATACCCCACTTCTTATATTCATAAATTAATAAATCTTAAGAAAAAAAAAAAGACTTCTAGAATAGCACACTTAACTACTCTTTTTTTAAAATAATATAGTTTATTTTATTTTTAGAATCATTTTGTACCTTTTTTTTTTTTTTTTTAAATCTCAATTGTAATCCCCGTGGGTTTCCCATCACCAAGTCACCCATGAGCACACTTAACTACTCTTTCTGGGCAACGGCAATGTTGTACATCTGCACCATCCAACTCAGACCTATGAGGCAACTGAGCACTTAAAATGGGCCAGGACTGAACTTCTGATTTTATTAATTTTAACCAGTTTCAATTTCAATAGCCACATGTGGTTACTTGCTACTGTACTGGAGGGTGTAGCCCTAGCGTGAGCCAACACCTCTTCAGGAAAGGAGAGATTTCCAAGTCAATCTACCGATACTTAAGGGATAGTAGGACTGAAGGCGGTTTGTGAAAAAAACTATTTGACAGAAAAATATCACAATCCCTCTGGCCAACCCCCAGTTCTTCTCCCATTTCCCTTCCTGGGAAAGAAAATAGAATTTATAAGCCAAGCACAAAATTCATGTTCACCACAAGGCCTTTTTCATCTAAGCTTTGTCTCTGAAGCCAAATTTGATTTGTCATTTCACCATGTCCTCTTAGGTGGCCAATAGCCAACCCAACTATTTCACCCTCCCACTCAACTGCAGTGGGGTCATGCCCACCCCTGACCAGGGGTAGAGGAGAGCTCCTTTTAAGCTACCATGGCTACCAGCTCTAAGTCCACACATGGACTGAATGGTGCCATTGCCTCAGCATATACCTGAGTTTCAAGGACTCAAGTGCAGAATTAAAAACGGCCCAGGGTAGCAAGCAGTATTACAAAATATGGTAATCCAAACCACAGCGCTAAACACTGTACCAAGGTATTTCCATGGGGAACAAATGGTCATCAGGAACTGTTGTCAGCAAAAAATGTTCTTGACCTGCCCTAAGAAGCCAGCTGCTTCTCTTCTCTGAAATCAGGTCTGGTACTGCTGCCAAGCTATCCAACACATCTCAGGCACAAATAGTGTGTTTCAGTAAAGCTACTACTGAGCTTAGAATCTGGGGCAAGCCTCTTCTAAGCGTGGGCTTATGCTTCCTCCCAAATAAATGGGAACTGTTGGTGATACCAGTGAAATCTTTCCAAAACTAGGATTTAAATTCAGAACCACCCAGAAACTACAATCAGTGCAGGGTTTGTAAGCCCTATCAATAGGGCTCACAAGTTAAATACCAGGAGCACTCCTCCCCGCCCCAAGATCCTGGGGTTTGAGAGTGAGGTTTCCACACATTAGGATTTCCAGATATTAACCTCTCACGGCTACTGAATCAGCTTAGATAAGTAGGATCTTCCACCCCTTATCTCAGCATACCTGTATTTACATCACCCACAGTTGCTTGTTTGTAGTGGCTATAGATGAACAGCATCTCTTCATCTGTTGGCTTGGTCTTGAGGTTCTTAACCTCCTCAGCAGCTTTTTCAAACTCAGCCTAAATTAAAGGGAGAGGATAGCTCAGGAATGGAGATGGAAGGCTTGGCAAGGCAGCCCTCCTCCTGCAATGCGGGTGAGGAAAAGCAGTCCTCACTCTAGTACGTCTCCCTTCTTCTCCCTAGCAGGGCAGCCAGAAAGGTTCGGCAAAATAAAGAGGGAAGGCCCTCAATTCACTCACTGTATAGACCTTTAAGTACAGGACTCTCATACATCAGGTATCAGATGCTTAAAATACAGTGGTGAAGGTGACAGACTAAGTCTGCCTACCGGGACACCAGGCCAGACCCGGCTCCTAGTAGGCCATGAACTGCGGATGGGACTTCCTCCCCCTCCAGCTGCGGAGTCCAGCGTTACCTCTGTCCCAGTGCCCGAACTGGAGAGGTGAGAGGAGCCAGAGGTCGCCCCATGCAACTCGGTCCCAGGAGAGTGCAGGCAAAGGGCCTTAGGATCCCTTCTCCCTAAGTTCTCGTGCCTGACACCAGACCCGTCTTCCTTGTCTCCAAGCGCTCAAGTATGGCTTCCCTACTTCCCCACTCTGCCTGGCGCCTCTTCTCCAATCCTGTCCTTCAGGACGGAGGACTCGATCTCTTCGCTTCTTCAATTTATGCAACCCCTACCTCCCCTCGCTTTCAACCCCTTACGGATGCACCGCGACGAACACCCGCCGGGCAACTTTCCAGCAGTTGCGGGTGGGTAGGGGTGTTGGGAGTCCAAAAAATGTGAAGTTCGGCTCTCAAGGCTCTGTCGGCAGAGTTGGGCTAGGCACGGGTCCAGGAGGTCCCGCAGAGCCGGTAAGCGAAAGAGCCAAGGTTCAGTCCTTCGCCTCCCGCCTCAAGGTACCTTCATCACCGCTGGACACGCGTTATACCTGAGACATGCCGGCTGGATTGCAAAAATTCCACGAAGCCTGCGGACAAGGCGAAGAGCAGAAAACAGCAGCAGCCCAGAAGGCTACTGGCAGCGCCTTTACATACGCCGCGCAGCCGTGCCGACGGCTCGGGAGAGCGACGCGCAGCCAATCAGAAGCCTGGTCTACGCTGGGGGCGTGTCCTGGGGCGCCGCCAACTTCTCCGGAACCCACGTGGGGCCGTTCGCGCACGCGCGGGCGGGAGCCGAAGAGGACGCCGGGAGCAGGTGGGGACAGCGGAAGGAGGGCGCGCTGGGTCCGGTGGACCGGTTTTGCTGGGCTCTTTCGAAACCCTGCAGGCGGGTGACCCTCGGGCACAGGGGAGGATGCGGAGGCTGAAGACTAGCAGCGTTTAAATTTGACCCTTTAAATATTGGTCTCGGCGTGAAGAGGCTGGGCATTACCTGTTGAGACAAGTTATCCCAGGATAATAAGGGCTGCGAGTGGGTCTCTTTCCTCCGTGGTCTGGAGGAGCCTCCCCGGGGACGGTCCTGGGAGAACAGCTAAATGGTGGGGAAGCTGAACTGGTTTCCAGGAAGGTGAGGCTTCTCTTCCTGTGAGCTTTGGGCATTTTTGACCTCCGGTGGCGTTTAGTTGGCCGTCCAGTATTGTACATTTTTGTGTGTGGTGCAGGTGTCTTGGTGCATTGAGGGCAGGGGCAGTTCTTATCTTTAGTTCAGTGTTGGCCCTTACCAGGTGCCTAGCAGATTATCTAGTAAATGAATGGCCCCTTCTGTCACAGATGTTTACTGAGCTCTGTTCAGGTAACTTGCATTATTACAGACTTTGGAGATCAGCGAAGAGAACAGATAGATTCTTGCATGACTGGGATTTACTGCGGCCCAATAGTTAATCAAGTAAGTTAAATAGAAAGTTTGTTAGGGAGTTGGAAGCTTATAGTTTTTTTTTTTTATTTTTTTTTTTAAAGATTTTATTTATTTGTGCATACAGAACTGGGGTACAGGCCAGAGGCTCAGGAGCGGCGGCGAGAGGCTTCACCAGAGACAGAGCGGGGAACAGAACAGGCAGATCAACGAAGTACACTGCTGAGGGGAGCAGCGAGCTGGTCAGGAGAGGTCTGCCACGCCATGTGGTCACCTCCGGGGCAGGTGGGAATCGAACTCATTCGGAAGTGGCTTTAGCTTCTCAGTGCTGTGCTTTAACCCACTGCGCCACCAGGGAGGGCCGGAAGCTTATAGTTTTTTATGGTGTGGGAGAGGGTTACTAGAGGGTTAAGGGAAGATAACATTTGAGAAAACCCCTTAAGGAGATGGAGCATTGCTGGGAGAAAGTTACTGTAGAGGTGTGAGAAGGGAGTGAGGGAAATAGAAAGTGATAAGGCGAAGGAGTTAGAGATGGCAGGCTGGCTAGATGGCTTTGAGCTTGCTTTTATAGAGATTTTGATTTTTGTGAGGTGGGAAGTCATCAGGAGTTTTGAGCAGAAGGTGATATAATTGAGAGGAGCAGTTTGTTGCAAGGTTGTTAATAGATGCTGATCTTCATAGTGTTAGAAAAGAGCTGCTCAGGTGGAGGAACAGTTTGGAATGATACCTAAGAGATAAAAGAGAATTTTCTGGTAGTATTTATAATGGACCTGGATGAAGTGAGGGTTAATTAAATAATTCTCTGGAAGTTGTTCTAAAAGGTCATCATCCCTCTCCAGCTCTTAATTTGTGACAGGAGGACTGGACTACAATCTACCCTGCATTGTCCCTCAACACCCACATAAAATTTACAGATGTGGGGTTTTTGAAAGAAAGATGAGGTGGAAGCTTTCAGAGGTAACTTGACATAATGTAGGTTAAATACTAGAAAATATTTGGGAAGAAGTGGAGCTGCAAATTGCAGGGAGCAAATTTAGTGTCTTCAGGGGAATAAAGACAGCCCTGTCAAGCTATCACCAGCCACTGCAGCATAATTTAGATTCCTGGCCAGGGATCTAACCCCTTATGGCAGAGCAGACCTCCCCTGTCTCACCCACTGCTCCCCTCAGCAGTATATTTCAGTAGATCTGCTTGTCTGCTCCCCACTCTCCCTGGTGAATCTTCTCACTGCCCCCCCCCCCTCTACTTCTGTCCTATACCCCAGTTCTTGTGTAAATCTTAAAACAACAGGCCTATTCTTTTTAGTCAGTGAGTAACTTTGATTGAGAAAGCAAAGCCAAACAAAGTTCTAGAGTTAAATTTTGGGAAATTACACGTGAATTGTAAGAGATGGAGGTTATTTCCAAAATGACTATTCAGAGTTGTTTTTTTCCCCACTGAGGCCCCAGTGAAGTCTGGATTTGTTTTTACTCTGTCATTTGATATTGACAGCTTCCTAATAGAAATTTCAGATAGTTGCCAGTGAGAGTCAGATAGTTGCCAGTGAGAGTCAGATTTGCAGCCAAGTGTATCTTCAAGTTATAAGTTTTTAACATGAAGTTATTTTGATTGGCACATTTGAAAAGATTAGGTGACTTTACATTCTCAAAGATTTGGTGTGAGTGAATTCTGATTAGAGTTAAACATTGTAGAAAGCAAGGATAGTGTTTGAAATTGACTTGGTAGTCTCTGGCTTAAGCAGCATTGAATTGTTTGTTTGAATTCTCTTTCACTTTCCTAAAAGTGAAAGTTTGCACTTGGTGGTTTATGCCAAGGCAAGCCGATAAAAGTTGTTTAAAGCAACTGAAATAACTATTTGCTTGGAACAACTAGTGAAGATATTGTTTATTTCAGTCAATCTGCCTGTTCTTCTCCCCACTCTGATTTAAAGAAATAAAGACAGTGGAGCAGTTAACACACCAAACTACTAGTGAAATAGAAGCTGGGATCTAGACCAGGTGGTTCTTCCTACGCTTCCTCTGGAGTGGGATGAAGGAAATCCTTTTCAAGAGGATGTTCTCATGTGAAAGCCATCACCACCACTTTATATTCTGTATTTCCATAATACTGGCAAAGAAGTAGCTCTTCTTATCCTGAGAATGTAAAATAACTCAGCTTTATATCCTTGTTAGTAATTATTTTTTTTTTACTTTATTATTTTTTTTTAAATTCACTCTTCTTCTGTCAGAGCCTCCCTTCCTACATAATCCAGGAAAGGTAGGAGTCACTTTGTATTCATCAATACTTTATCTTCTAGTGTCTGGCTCTTCTTGGGTGTTCAACAAGTGGTGGGTGAATGAACAGTGCTTTTTTCTCTATGAAATGTATTCCTTCCAATTAGGACTTGGAAACCAACAAGTTTGATTAGAACTGAATGTGAAACTGGGCTTGAAAGCAGTCTGTTAGATGAAGTCTGTTAGAAGGACCAGGTAATTTCTTTGAACCACTGCCAGCGTTAGAAACAGAACTGAAATGTTCAGGGAAGATGGTGAATCTGATAAGCTCACTAGTCAGCCTAGTTACCCCTGCCAATTAGTAGAAACTTTGTTCTCACTATTGCAACTTGCCCTCACATTCTTGGGATACCAATTTTGTATGCTCACAAGACCTCACTTGCTGTTCTCAGTGTAAAGCCAGACACAAGATATATTAACAGGTGGAAGCAGTTCTTGCTCGGTGGGTGTGAATAGTAGCATAATATTAGGTTACTTGGTATAAACTAAACCTCTAATTTCTAAAAGTAAGTTAATCATTAAAAATGGACTACAGTTACAGTAAAGCCTTACTCTAAGGCAAAGGGTAGATTATTCACAAATGATGAATTACATTGATTTGTTGCTTATTTTGTAGTTTCAGGGGGTGTGACTTAAAGCATGTCTTTAGCCAAACTGGGAGGAGATCAGTGTGTTATGGGAAAGAGGCATTAGGAAATACTTCTGGGGTGGGAGTGCAGAGAGGCCCAGAGTTGGTTTTTTTTTTTTTTTTTCTTTTGTGAAGGCAGAGGGAAGTAAGCTCTGAGGAGTGGGATAAGAGTGCAGAAGTTTTCCTCTCCCTTTTGTTTTTGTTTTTATCATCTTGATCCTTTTCCCTCCCCTTGCTCAGACACTTCACTTGTTAATGTAGGTTACTTTTTTTTTTTTAATGTAGGTTACTTTTTACCCGTATTTACTTCTTGAATCATTTATGTAAATATCTAATATTTGTCATTCTGTTTTGCTTTGCTACATGCAGTTCTTTTAAAACTCCTGTTTTGCTGTAAATGGCAACATTTTGTCTTTGCTCATGACTGAATAGTATTTAAAAAAAAATTTATTTATTTATACATACAGAGATGGGATATAGACCAGAGGTGCAGGGGCGGTGAGAGGATTCACTGGAGAGAGAGTGGGGAGCAGAACAGGCAGATCGACAAAGTACACTGCTGAGGGGAGCAGTGGGCCAGACAGGAGAGATCTGGTGAGCCGTGTGGGTCACCTACTTTCCCTGGGATGGAATTCTCTCTGAAACGGCTGCGGCCAGCTTGTAGTGCTGCCAGCCAGCTTGTAGTGCTGCGTCCTAACCCATTGTACCACCAGGGAGGGCCCTGAATAATATTTTGTAATGTTAATATTCCACATTTCTTGATCAAATCTTCTATCAGTGGGCATTTAGGTTGCTACTATGTCCTCACTATTGCAACTAGTGCTGTAATAAACATTGTAGAGTATATGGATTTTTTGAGTTTATGATTTAATGTTTGGGTAGATGCCCAAGAGAGGGATTTCTGGGTCATGTGATATTTCCACTTTCAGTTTTTTTTTTTTTTAAAGTAAATTCAGATCCTTTTCCATAATGGCTCCACCAGTGTTTCCATTCCCACCTGTTGTATAATAGGGTTCCTCTTTTTCTGTGCCCTCCAGGACTTGTTGGGGTCTTTTTCTTATGTGCCATTCTAACAGGTGCGACATTGTGTTTCATTTAACCCACACCTCTCATTGTGAATGATAATGAACATTTTCCCCTGTAGTTAGTGGCCTTCTGGATAGCCTCTTTAGTGAATTGTTTATTCAGATCTGCTGCCCATTTATTGGGTGGTTTTTCTTCTGTTGAACTTAGTTGTGTGTGTGTGTGTGTGTGTATGTATGTATGTGTATATATATATATATATATATGTAAAGATAACTGTGTATATATATCTTGCATATTAGCCCCTTGTTGGTTATGTGATGTCTAAAGATTTTCTCCCAATCAATAGGATGTCTCTTTAGTGTACTTATATTTCCTTTTTCTGTGTAGGAACTTCTTAGTTTGTGGCCTCAATTCTTTATTTCCCTTCTTTTAGGAGTTGAGTCTCCAAAAACAATTTCATTATTGATATCGTAGAACATGTTTTCAATATTTTTTCTTATACATTTCATTACTTTGTTATAGGCCTTATATCTATATAAATTTTGAAATTTATTTTTGTACATAGGTGACCCATTGTCATTCTTTTAAATATACTCTCCAGTTTTCCCTGCACCATTTTTTTTTCTAATTTTTTTTTTTCTTTTTTCTTTTTACTGGTGGGCAAGGGAAGGACATCCAGGGTAGTAAGGGCTGGAGACCAGGAAACCCTTTCATTTTTCTCACACAAAAAGTACTGCCCCTCTGATGGCAGCTTCACTGAAGGGCAGACCCTGAGTTTATGACAGCAC